GGCGCCCCCCCCCCCCGTCTTTGGACGCCATGGGGGATTCCCGACACCCCAGACAAAGTCACAAGCACAAAGCAACAGAAGAGGTTTAAAATCACTGCTCCCTTCCCCGACGCAGACCGAAAAGCCGGCCTTGTCCTGGTCACGGTGGCCTTTTGGAGCTCCCTGCCACGGGGAGGGGGTGGCCTGGGCCGCGGTGGACCCGCCAGCCTGCCTTGAAAGCTCCTGCTGGGGACCCTGTAGGCGGATCAGGCCTCTGCAGCAGGCTGGAGCGGTCTGGAAGGGCGGGAGGCTTCCTGGGGAAGGGGCGAAGCTGAGGCAGGCCGGGCTCCGGCTCTGGGGACCGGGGAGGGGCCGGAAGGGCTGCTGGAAACGGGGCTCAGTGGGGCACCTGGACCAGCATGGAAACTGGCGAGGAAATAGGGAAGGCCTCTGAGCGTGCCACATCTGTGTTTTCCCGTGTGTTGGATGATCAGGACCAGGCTTATGATGGAGGGCGATGCCCTTGCGAAACATCGGCTAATGATTGACCGCTCCCTGGAGAGCGGCCTTGATCCCCAGGAGGCTGGCATGGCGCCTTCGGCCCTGGCATGTGCTGCCACCCTCCCCTTGGGCAGAGCTTGGGTTGCGGCGATGGCTAGGACCCCTCTTTCCTCCCTCGCCGGTGCGTTCCGTCAGCCCCTGCTGAAGGGGGGGGCGTCTGCTCTTGTGATTTTTACGTTACTGCAAGCCCCTTAAACACAGTGCAACAAGAAGTCATGGGCACCTGAAACAGGAATGTGGCTGGACGCAGCTGGCTCTTTTGCGGGCCTTTACAGTAGCAGGGTAATCATTCCTTTGTTTCTTCAGAGGACGAGCCGCTGCTTTGGAGCAAGCCGCATTAGTAAACACCTTCCTGTGCGAATGCTTCCTTCCTGAGGCCGGGTTTGCGTGGTGAGGGCCACGCACGCTCTTCCCAGCCACGCTGGGGCGATGCTCCGTGGCTCGGGCTGCTGCTCAGGTCAGGCTCCCTGGCATTTCAGAAGGGAGGCAGAGGAGTCCTTGAAGCAAACGCTGCCTTGGCCCGGGACGTCTCTTACATGGTAGTGGGGGCCGAGCGCCCTGCTTTCTGCAGACGCTGCGTTGCTCGGCCCTGACGGAAACCCCAGCTGGATCGGCCCAGGCAGTTGCCTCCTGCCCGGCGCTTGTTGCAGTCGGAAGCCAACATGGGGTGAAGACGCACAGAGTGTTTCAGCTGTACCCGGCCCTCAGCCTCTCACCCGCCTGCAGCGGCTCTCCGTTTCCAGAAGCTGCCTTCTCTTCTGTCCACATGTTCTTCCAGCAGAGATCTAAACCGTCACGGGTGGGATGGAAGTGGGCAGAGCAGGGGGTGGGTGGGATGGTGTGTTCTTTCTGTGGCCTAAAATCTGGATTGCTACCCTCCCACAGCTGGACTTGAGCTTCTCCTCTAGGTTCACCATGCCTCTCCATCGAATCCTTTGGAAGGATCGTGCCCCCGGCCCCCTCCCCCTCACGCCCTCTGCTGGGATCCCTTTGGCCGGAGACTCTGCAGGAGCCCGGCCCCCAGTGCGACCGAGCCCGTGAGCTCCTCTCGGCTGCTCTTGGGCCTTTGGCTGTGACCCAGAAGATCCCGGAGCTCTTTTGCAAAACAGCCCCGCCGGGAACCAAGAACCGGCAAGCGTTCTTCCAGGCCAGCCAGGGAAGGGCAGAACTGGCGAGGAAGAGACGCCTGTCCTCCTTTCTCTCCCGTTAATCTGGGGCAACTCCAGGCACCTCCTTGGCCTGGGGCAGATGGCGCCATTCAGGGATGGAGAAAAGGGCCCGCTCCTGGCCTGGGGCTGCTGCTGCTGCTGCTGCTGCTGCTGCTGCTGCTGGAAGGGCCCCGTAAGAGCATCAGGCGCCCTGGGGGCAACCCACCGCCTGCAGGAGCCGGCGAGCGTCGCTCTTCGCCCCTTGGGCAAATCTCATCCTCTCGCGCTGTGAGTTGGAAAAGGAAAGCCACTTCCTGCTGTCATTCTCATGCTACGCTGCTGCGTTTCTGAAGT